GATGCGCCAATTAGAAATATCGACGCGTTCCATTCACTTTCGCCCCGATGAAAATGAAGAGGACCCCGCCGATTCGAAAGCAACGAAAGTAAGATTCTCTTTTCTGTTCGGAGGAGATGCATGTCGTGGAACTCGTTCACCAGGGTGATCGAACCGAACTTCGCCTTTCGACTCGGATCAATCGAATTTATCTTCGCGTCTGTCCGTCGAGACAATGGCTGCTCGATATCGATTAGAAAGTGGATAATATTCACGACACGATGGATATGCGTGCGTGTGAGATACGCTCGGCGGAAAGATATACTCGTATCTCGTCTTTCCATACGTGTTTGCGATCGTAAAATCGTAAGGAAATCGTGATGATCGGTCTCTCGATTAATAAGTTGTCTCTCGAATAAATTAAATACAACGGTGACAGAATAAACACACGGTAAACGAAATGGATTTATTTCGTACCATTTGTTCCCTCGATCAATCTTATTTACGTTAAATCGATTTAGCAGTTTAACTTTCACCACTTTGCGTTTCCAAGTTTGTTATCAATTTTTTTTTTTTTTTTTTAATGCGAGGTATTTATTAGCGCACAATTTCTCTCCGAGCTATCTTCTTCTTAGCTTTCAACAAAATCTCTCCACCAATCATTGCGTAATTTTAAATTCTCCGATTCTTTGGATTCTTGGATCCGTTTCTCACGAATCCATATTCGATTCCGTCTCAGAAACGGAACGAATTCCAAAAGATTTCGAACGAGAAGATAGATCCAAGATCCAAGAGAATCGGGCGAGGACTATGGAAGACGAGCTGAGAGAAAGAGAGAGATTAGAAGAGATATCGAGAGGACAACGGTTGGCAGATTAAACGGCAAGGTCTTTAAACGATCGCTTAATCCTATTTGAGACCTACTTTTGAGCCGACCCGAAGGAGAAAGTAAGAGGGGCAGTGTAAGAGAGGAGGTGACGGTCGCATGCTTGAGAAAGTAAAGTCTCGTTTACACGTAAGAGGCGAGTGTTGTGCGAGTGTTTTTTTACGGAGACGGTACACACGTTACGCCGGAATAGAATCGCGATTACCACATTTTAATTTTCTCGAAATTTGTAGGTCGAGCAACAAGCTTCCTTCCTCCCCTTCTTTTCTTCTCTCTTCTTCCTTTCTTTTTTAATTTCAATCTCGAAAGCGGATTACACGTCGCGATAATATTCAACACGACGGAATATCTCGTGCGTAATTGTTTCTTTCAACGAGTTTCTTTCTTCCTTTTTCTTTTTTCGACGAAAGAGAGAAGAGTATAGGATGAAAGGTGCATAAATTTTGCCATTTTCAGAATTATTTCGTATAGAAGAAACTGGATGTAGACAATTTGGAATGTCGTTGCGAATTTCAATCGATTCGTTATTTTACATTTTGATTTGACCATCTTTCTGAGCGAATATGAATATATTTACGTGTAATGTTACACGTGTGCGTAGCTGTAAAATAATATATAAAGAAATGAATAAAGAGGAGACGAAACAATTTTCGTGTGTACGTTCATTACGCTTTCCCTCCTTAATCCGAGCTCGACGTTGAACCGTTGCATGCAACCTGAAAAAAAGAACGTAACTTTTCCGTTACTCTCTCTCTCTCTCTTTATTAAACCTATGTAAACAAACGTAACTTTCGATCGACGAAACGAGCAAAGCTTTTTAGACAATCGATGATTAAATTCCGCCTGCGTTGAAATGCAAATCGAATATAATATTACTGCAACGACGTATTAGTGACATCATTCCGTTCTTTCCGTGATGTCACCCCAAAACGTGACCATCACGATCACTTTCCCCTTCGAATTTCCAACCTCTGACCGCTTCTCTCTCTCTCTCTCTCTCTCTCTGTAATTAAAATTACAAGAATTATTTCTTACTTGGAAAACGATAGAATCGATGAAATAGATGGAACAAACGGCTCGTTAAAAGATCCATTTGTTCAACGAGATGTTTCTCTCCTTTCTTTTTAGGTCTACGTCAAAATTTGTAGCATTTGTGGCAATCGGTGCGTACAAATGATCGCATTTAGTGCGGCGCGCCTTTTCGATTGAACCGGTACAAGTTTTCACTACAAATGGACGATTTATCATTACGCGATAGAATTACGGTTACCGAACTGCAATTACATGGAGATTGTGCGATGATTCTGTTACACCTCTGCACAACAGCGTCAAGGTTTCATTAATATTCCTTCCTATATGCTATATATACAAATCATCGATTTTATGAGCCCATCAACGAGCTCATAGTTGAGCCTTGCGTCGGAAAATTCAAATCAATTTTGCTGGTTTAATCGTTGAATCTGTTCTACTCGAGATATTCGTCACGATTTGGAAAAATGATATTCGATATGTTTTGTTGCTTGCAAGAGATTTATAAACGTTTGTCCGTGGGATGGAAACATTAGACTTTCCAGTTCACGGAGAAAGTTATGCATTAACGGGTCCGTACACCGCACACTCGTCCAGATAGATGAATAACGCGCAACGATGATCCGAGGAGCGTTGCTTCTGCCAGGGGCTTCGACCTAGTTTCTTTTCTTTTTTTTTTTTTTTTTTTCTATTGA